GAAGAGGCCTGGAGGAACTTCGGCCTATCTTTATTGGAGCGGGGGGGGAGGGGGGGGGTAAGGGTAGAGGTAGGGGTACGGGGGGGAAAGGGGTGGCGAGGAAGGGGGTGGGGGGAAGGGAGGGGAGGGGAGTGGAAGGGGAGGGTTTAAGCTGTTGGTGGGACAGGGGAGGGGGGGGGGAGGAGAGTTAAAGAGGGTGGAGGGAGGGGTTAGTGAGGGGGAGGGGGGGGTACTGAGCATTGACTGTATTTTAAGAGATTATTGCATCCTCGTTACATATATATAATTTTTTTCCAAATGTTTCTCTCCTTTTCTTCGTTTCTTTTGTTTTTCTTTCTTTCTTTATTTTTTTAAGGTTGAACTAGACAATAAAGACGAATGATGAGAATAGTTAATACTACTACTGTCACCCATAACAATAATGATACGAAATGATAATAATAATGCCATGATAACAATAATAACTATAACAATTATCAAAATAATAGTAATAGTAAGAAAGATAATGATAATAATAATAATAATAGTAGTAGTAATAATAATAATAGTAATGATATAACAGTAATGAACTAATAATAACAACAACAATAATAATAACAATACCAACAACAACCACAACAACAAAAAACAAAACAATACCAATAACAATAACGCCATGGAAACAAAAAGGAAAACAGGAAAAAAAAAAGACCCAGAGACACTCCGTTACGCGAGCCTCTTCCCCGCAGCGCCACGAGTCTTTGCCTCTGGAATTGCATGACCCGCAAGGAGGTTGACGTCGGCGTAAACCATCGTGAATTATTCATGCACTGATGCCAGATACGGACGACCACGATCGGGCGATAACGGGGCGTACGTACGTAGGGGCGGGTATGTGCGTATGGGGAAAAGAGGGGAAGAGAGGGGAAGGAGGAGGGAAGTAGGGGGAGAGAGGAGAAGTAGGGGAAAAGGGGGGAAGAGAGAAGAAAAGGGGAAAAGAGAGGAGGGAGAGGAAAGAGGGGCAAAAGAGGAGAGGAGAGGAGAAAGAGCTTTAAGAAGAAGAAGGAAAGTTATGAAAATAAGGTATTGAGGGGAGAGAGAGATGAGGGGGAAGGGAGGAGAGGTGTAAGAGGAAGGGGAAGGAAAATTATGAAAATAGAGAAAGGGGAAAAGAGGGGTTAGCGGGAAGGGACAAGGAAGGCATAGGATTAAAAGAGAGATGAGAATAATCGGAAAAGGGAGAGGAGAAGGAGAAAGAGGAGGAGGAGAGAAGTGTAGAGAAAGAGAAACGAAAGAAAGAAGGAAGAAGGGTACTGTGGTGACTGAGACGAAAGAAAATAAAGAAAGTAGGATGAGAGGAAGGAAGGAGATCAGACGTATGAGAAAAGTAAGATTAATAAGGAATAAGGGAAAAAAAGAAAAGAAAGAAAGAAAGGAAAAAACTAACAAAGAAAGAAAGAAAAGAAAAAAACACAAAGAAACAAAGGCAATTAAGAAAAGTAAAGAAACAAACAAGCAAACAAACAATCAACCAAAGAACGAAACAAGCAAACAAACAAAATAAAAAAAAGACATAACATAACGCTGATTAACACTAACAGTCTAGTAAATCTGTCACTCACTCACGCCCAAAGCACACGTTTCGGTATTTCACGCCCACACCTTCTCCCTAATAAGAGGTACCGCGGGAGGCAGTAGGAAGCAGATGAACTCATGATGAGAGAGAGAAAAAAAAGAGAAAAAAGAGAAATGCTAGAGAGAGAGAAAAAAAAAGAGAAAAAAAGAAAAATGATAGAGAGAAAAAAAACAGACTCCAGTATGTGTGAGAGTTATGAAAAGTCCAAGATACGATGATGATGGTGAGGATGATGACGGAGATAGTGACTATGAAGATGATGGTGTTACTCGCGGGTTATGGGCACGGTGCCTGGGCTTATGGCACCGAGGCACTGATGGAACGGCGGCGCTATCTGGCGGAGGCTGGGAGAGAGCCATCCCTTTCTCGCGGATTTTTTCCTGTCTTGCTTATCGAGCTCTGAGACGGACCTCGATTCTTTTTTTTTTTTTTTGTTTTTGTTTTTGTTTTTGTTTTTTGAGGGGGGTGGGGGTAGGAAGGGGGGGGGTGGAAGGTTGGTGGTAGTGTTGGTGGTGGTGGTGGTGGGGAGGGGGGGTATTTCTGTCTTTTTCTTTCTTTTTTTTTTTTTCTTTCTAATTTTTCGTTCTGTTTTCTTGTATCCTTCGCATTTTTGTGATGTGAGGTTATCTTTTGTTTTGCTTTGATTTTCTTTCTTTTCTTTCTCCTTTTTCTGTTTTTCCTTTCTTCCGATCTTTGTTCAATTTGCTTTTTTTTCTTCTTTGTTTTTTTGAAATCTGAAACATCAGTCATAACGGAGCGTACAGAAAAAAAAATCTAACCTAACCGAAGAAATCAAAACAAAATTTAAACAAAACTTCAAAAGATTTCGAAATCTGTGAAGCAGCTTCGAACCGGATTCGAACCCCGATCCGGACCGATCAGACC